AGACTGTCAAGGTCCCCTTCCAACCCACTGGGCCCACCCACCAACTTCCTCAGCTCCTACTGGCAGCTCCAGAGGATCTGGGAAGCTGGGCCCATGTTCCTTCCTGTTCAAGATGAGGGAGCCACTCAGAAACATACAGCACCCCAAACACACCTGAGTCCCATCAGCCCCTCCAGCTACGGTGCAAGATCCCAACCCCCTTCCCCTCAAGCCAGAACCCACCTCATCATCTTCAGCTGCCCGTTTGCCCGTAGCTGCCTCAGCCTCCTCATCTTCATCTCCATCCTCTTCCTCACCTAGAGAATCAAGCCCTAGGTAAACCACACTGCCTTCCTCAACCAGGGAGGGCTTAGTACCCTCCCACCCAGAGGCAGCCACACTAGGGATGGGAATGCACAAAAAAGGAAGACTCAACTGCAGTTCCTTAGGAAATCCCTCAGTAATAGATTTGCTAGAGTGAAATGTCCCTGGATCTGTCTCTGCTGCCTGACAAACCAGGCTCTCAGGGGACCCACAATGCCCATGCAGGCACTTGTCTTTGAGGGAAGAGGGTCCCCGGGCCCAAACATCTGCACCAGGAGGCCAGGCCCACATCGGTGAGTGGAGAGAGCTGTCCAGGACTGAGAGTGTGGGGCACACTTCACATCAGCCCAAAACAAGCAAAGTCGAGACTCCACAGGTACAAGCCCAGTTGCAGGTGGTCCACAGCCCCTACTCTGGGAGCCCCCAACTCTCCCCCTGTGCCAGAGGCCAGGGAAAAGTACCTCCAAAATGGGAGACAGACAAGGATACTCACCATCACCTTCCTCCTCCTCCTCCTCTTCCTCCCCTCCTTCTTCCTCTTCTTCATCTACCTCATTGTCAGCCTCCTGCTCCCCATTTTCCTCATTCTCCTCAACAGAAAACATACCAGGTTACTAACAAAGACGGAGCATCACACCTCTGCCCATCCCTTCCTCCAAACCTTGCCCACTGCTCCTACAGCCTCAGAGCCCCTAAAGCTCCACGAGGAGACCTCGACACACCGCCTCCTCCCCCACCCTGCACTAAGTCCAAAATCATCCGGAGGAAGAGAACTTCTTGGCCAAGAGCTGCTACGGGTCATGAGCAGATGGACACTCACAGCGTTCCCATTAGCAGGTGCGTCTCTTCCATTCTCTGCCTCCTCCACAACTTCCTTCTTCTCCTTCAAATCCTTCAAAAAGGAAGAGGGAACCAGTAAGTCTTTTAAGCAACCCAGGTCTGGCAACGGGGCCCAAGGTTACAAGCATGTATGCAGTGCTGACTGGACTACCAAAGTTAACAGCTGCATAATGCACGTGCAACCCGTGGAAAAAAAGGCCACAGAATGCGGAGTGTGTCTGCGGTTACGAGCCTGTCCGATTTCTCAGCCCTTAGAGAATCATACTGAAAAGGCCATGTGGCACCACAGCCCCAAACCCGTCTGGCCGGGCAGACGGGCCCAGGAACACTTCACTCTCACACACACCCATCAGACTTGTTTCTAAGCACAGGGAGCTCCGCCTCTCACAAATCCTTCTGGGAAAGCAGCAGGTATGTACCATAAATAAGGCACAGGAGGGAGGGCCACACTGCGGGAGAAGTCTCGTGGGTGGACTAGCCAGGGAAGGGAAAGGGAGGGAGCGAACGGGCAGAACCAGAGGTCGCCTCACCAGCCAGAGTCCTCGAAGCTGAGCTCCAGCGCAAACCCACGGTAGTCTAGGACCTGGCAAACTCCAACCTTGAGAAAAACCCGTATCTGGCACCCGTCCCAGAGGGTCGCAGACCGTGGCCTGAAATGGGCGCGGGCTCAGGTGACGCGTGCCTAGCCCGAGGCCTTTCCCTCGCTCAGAGTCGCGCTGCTAGGAGTGCCCAATGTCCCTCCTCGCCTCTAGCTCTTCCGTCCACGCGTACCTCTCAGGGCTGACGCGACCCGCCTTCCAAAGGGCAGCGCCGAGGCGGGAAGCCTGAAGCCCCGTAACTTTTTCCACCCGAAACCGTTGGGCAGGCTGCCAACATAGCCCTCGAGCGGTTCCGGGGCACCTGTCGGCCCGGTTCGCCCGAGCCGGCCCTCCGCGGACTCCCGCAC